ATTGAAAGAGCAAAAGTCCAAACGGGGTGCTTGTGTAGAAGCCGAATCACTCGTCTCAGCACCAGAAAAACTGTTGGCTTGCCATCAATCGCCAGGTTCGATACTTCGTCCAAGGCGAAAAAGAGTGGTACTTGGTTGGTGTTTGGGAGTCGGTCTATAAGTGCGGTTACCAGCTAGATCAAACCATTTACCACCAGATCGTGGCTTTGCAATCATCGTAAAGAATCGGTTGTCTATTTAGCGTAAGCTATTTGCAGGTGATTAACAAAGAGATATTACACCCATTCTACAAATATTGCCCTCCACTTGGGTCCGCCTTGAACTTTTTGACTATCTTTTGAGCCTCGGAAACCACCTTCTTGCAAAATTCCTTGCGATAGGTCGATCTTGTGAACGCAAGCAAAGCTGCGGTAAACTGTTGCTAGTCCGCGATTTGGCTCTCTTGATCGGGAGGCGCCATTATGTTGCGTAGATAACTTGCAAATCCTGTGTCCTTGCTGCGATACTTGTCGAATTCATTCATAACTACACTTGTTAGCACGCATTGCAAGCTCAACTTCACCATTGATGACCTGCACATACCAAGCTTCACAGCAGAGGTAAGGAAAGCGATAACCGTTGCATATTCGGTCGACTTTGTTCCTCCATATACATAGCAGATTGGCGAAGAAGAGTAGTTATCTCTACGTCGCCGGGTGGGTACCCTGACTGATCTCCGATACGCAACGTGAAGACTATCCTCACAGCGGTTTTGCCGTACTCATCAATCAACCAGGATTTCCCGGCCCCCGAAGATTGGACGATGGGCATAAGCTGTGCGTAGTAGGGCTCACTGTCAAAGATCCGTTCCGCATCATTGACAACGCGGCTGAAAACGGCAAGAGCAGCCCCAGAAAATCTCGCTTTCAGGCTTTTTGGATTCTATCTAAATCACCGTATGTGAGCGTTTCGGGTTCCTCATCGCTGTCGCCGTCGGTGGGGAGCTGCTTGTCCGAATGGTGTTTGCGGTAGAATTCTAGATTAATCAATTCCGACCCGTGTGAGACGCATACCAACTCTTAAAATCAGGGGGGGGGGGGGCTCCGATTCATCAGTCGAGCCCTGTGAAACGAAGAACAGGCGTGCCGAAGAGTCGATGTTTTGCGTGTTGGCATCGGCGTCGACGTCGACGTCGACACTATCCCATCTCTGCGAACTCATTGCTGCTAGTCCTCCACGGTATCAGCAAGGCTTTGGAGCATAGTAGGGTAGGCGAGTCGGAGAGGAGGAAGAAGAGAGGGTGCTCATGAGGGTGGTTGGGTTCAAGCGGAAACTTGAACCCTAAACCCTGAACCCTAATTCCCCCAATGTCTATAGCCCTATATATACCCTGTTCTATTCACTCGAAGCGGCCAGAAAACGTTCTATCAGGCCTCTATAGAAGTACAGGAAGTCCACCATTTTTATTCTGCCGAGACTAGATACACCCAACTGACGACCAGGGAGGCCTATTGTAGTTTTTGCCACTTGTAGCTGTCAGACGAATCCAAACTTGATTCGGAAGTCTAGCCCCAACCCCAGTACACCACTAGAACGTGACCACCGAGTTTGGCTTTATCGATATCAACGCAATACTTTAATCTACACTCGCCAACCATCTGTCAGTGACTGAGCTTGCGAAAGTCAGCCGGCCACAGAAGATATTTAGCAAATACTAATACTGAGTTTTCTCGCTGGGCACGAGAAAAATACTGGGCCGAACAATCACAAAGAAAGATACACGATTAAATCCAGTTACAAAATTCCCACTGTTCCTTAAGAACTTGCCAGTTGTGCTGCGCTACCACTAGTACAAAAGAGAGAGACATAGAGCGCAACTGCGCGAGGGCAAGACACATCGAACATCGACAAAGAGGACCCTACTTTCACTACTAGCTTTCGTACCATACGAAGTAGGTACTTAAATACCAATCGACAATATGTTGTTGATCAATCAAACTCTTTACTAGCATGGGAAATAAACGATCGCGATTTTGTGTTCTCTGCCCAGTTCAAGGCATAAGGCCGAAGATGTGTTGGCGGTCTCTTCTAGTTCTTCAACATTAGCGAGAACTTGAGATTGCTTTTTGCTCTTAGTTTCTGCTCACTTGCTCTCTTTGGCTCTCGTATTGTACTGCTCGCTTCTTGCACCGGTGATAGGTGTTGTTTGTATGAACAGCGGGGCATCGGAGAATAGGTACAGAGCATGGCAGTCTAAGGAACGCGACACAAGGGCAATTTATGAACCGAAATCAGACGCCTAACGACAATACATAGAGACGGGAGACGCAAGGGACAGAGGTGATCTGCGCGGGCCATATGGAAGTCTAAACGGCCACGGGGGTTTGTGGATGGAATTCTACTGGTACTTCGTGGTACCTAGGGATGACCGTCCCTTCCAAGTCAGGTACATATCTAGTTACTATTTGCATGCACTATATTTGCTATAGAGTGCGGGGAGGATTGAATATATCAGGATAAAGTCTTCAAAATACCAAACTTCGTTTAGCCATGAGACGTGTTGCACCCCACGGCTTTGAAACCGGGGAGATAAGACTTCTGCAGCTGCGAGACGAGATATCCACGGACGGTTTCTAACATACCTACTAGTCTTCTTGTAGAGTTATGAATGAGGCTTCCTGTTCACTCAGCTATATCTAAGCATAATACTGCTAGGTTAGTACTGTAGTTAGTACTGCAGTGGGTGACCATGCGGGAATCTCTGGTACTGTAGTTTTTTGCGTTTCCTTTTGCCTATATGCTCGTCTTCTATATTCTTTCCAGAACCTCTAGTGCTTGCTCAGGATGTCTCCTCGTGAGTATACTTCACATCCTCCCCACCGTTAATCATACCAAACAGTATTCGCACAACACCCCACGTCCTCAATCCTAACGTTAGCCACCACCCTCGCGGTAACGCCATCAAACCCCCAAACCTCCACCACTCCCAGCTCCGAATCCGTATTTCCAACCCATCTCTCATCAAACTCACAAGGCTTAACCGCATTCGCCGCTCCCCCCGTCCCGGTGGCGTCTGATTCTGCCCTGTCAGCGTGGAAGACATCATTCATGTGTGAATGTGGGGAAGGAGTACCTTCCGGTGCCAACCTCCACTTCCTCCCCCTCCCCTTCTCCTCCACCGGTAACCCCGTTCGCTAATCAATCCCATACTCCACCACCGAATTCTCCCTCTCCATCACGACAAACATATGCCTCCCCCCCGGGTGCACTACCAAATGTCTCGGTCCCGCTCCTTGAGGGGTACTAAGGCTCCCTACCAACCTCGTACCTTCCTTATGCACCCAGATCTTATCACCCCTCAGATCCGCGGAATACAGATACTCGTTCCCGCTCTAGGTAATGTGAATTGCAAGACCATGAATTGCAGCGGAAGTACTGGGGTAACGGAGTGTTTGTACGACGCTTTTTAAGGTGCCGTGGGGTGTGATGGAGATGGTGTCGAGGCAGTTTGATATTGCATTGGAATCGGTGGAAAGGGGCCAGGAGGTGGCGTAGATGGTGTATGGTGCGCGGGGGGAGGAGAGGGTGTAGTGTGCGGATGCGTTACAGGGGGAACCTATAGGGAGAGTGGATGAGAGAGACGTGGGATGCGTTGTGGATTGTGTAGGAGGTCTAGTTAGTTGATGAGCCGGTGTAAAGATTTTGTCGAGATTGTTGGTGGTGCTTGGGTTAGCGGGGGAGGCGGGGAGGGTGGGGAGGGTGGTACGGAGAAGGAGAGCCAAGGATGTGTGTACGGGACGGTGAGGTTCATGATTACTGTTAAGGTTAAGTTAGTGCTTCATCGTCGAATTGGAGGCCGTAGAGGTGGCCTTGGGTAAAGGTGCCGACGAAGAGGTGGTGGAGGGTTGCGGAGATGGAGGTAGAGAGGAGGGGGAGGGGGAGGTAGATTTGCATAGTGACTGGAGATTGGGAAGCACTGCGACTGGCGTGGTAGGGATAGGATGAAGTTATGTATTGCCCGACTCAATTCAAGAGTTTCCGATGGCTTTCTTGACCGAGATAGATAATTAAGCGATGCATTGACGGGTATGATCATCTATTCCCTACACGTTCGTTTTTTTTTTGCAGATTGGTTGCAATTTGTCTCACACCCAGACCTCTTTCTATCACGTGATTTTGAGCCTCGTACCTCGGCGTTAAAAATAACTCGCACTTCAGTCGCCGAAAACGGAATCTTCAGCCTAGCGGAGCGAATTAGGGCTGGGGGTAGGCACTTTTCACTTGTCGGTCAGCTGAATTCACCAATGAAACATGATCTGCTGTCCTACTACTGATTATGTAACATCATACTTGGCCAATCAAAGCCACTCGATTACCACTAGAATATTGCAACTCGTTCAAGCACCGGGGACTGAAGTTTGTCGGCTCAGATTGATCCGGATATCACCGAGTCGGGGGTGATACATACGCGGCACCGATCTCCGCCGGCCATGTTGTATGTGCCAAGACACATATATTAGAGAACGCGTCTCTAACCACGACCGGGTTTGAATCTAGATATTTTGTATTCCAAATGATCTTCACACAAAAGCTATCTATAGTCAAGAATATATACGTAACCTTGAGACGCAACTACCAGCGAGAAGTAACTTAGATATTCGCTGCGTCTCATAATCTGAGTGAGTAGATACTCGGTGATGGTACTTTACTTAACGCAACTTTATATCCCAGATCCGCCAGGGACTGACCTGATACCGAGTGATTCGTTGAGACCCCCAAACATATTGCTTCCCGGGTCCTGGTGCGTATCCAGTGGGGGATCCATAAAGAGAAGAGCGGAAGACGGTTTTCAATATCAAGGAACTCCTAAAACCTGCGCTCGATAACCATCCGTCAACTGACTTCGCAAGCTCAGTCAGCCGGCACGAGAGCACCTAAAACCACCGCTCATCGCCTAGAATGGACTCTGCGGACAAAAGAGACGAGTGAAGGAAATGAACACGCCAGAAACAAAAAACAATTGTGGGCACCCGGAATCGAACCGGGGTCTAAGCTGCCACAAAGCTTTGTACTGACCACTATACTATGCCCACGTGATATGTCTAACGTTCAGCAAAGTGCGTTCATGCCTCTGAGTTTATTTTAGTCAGAACTTGACGAGGAGCACCAATTTTGCTTTCGAATGAATATCAGGTGGCGGGCTTTATTGACTAACTACGCGAAATCGAGCATGCTGACAGGGTGAGGTACAGATAACGTTGGGTTAGCGTACCAGATAGGAGTACTTGTCTTGATGTTCTGTCTCGTATCATCGGCAGTACATACAAATTAAGTTTCCTCCTACTCTAGTTAGTAGTGCCCAGAATTTTTCTCCTCACTCGCAAGTTCGAGGAAGAAAATTGACGGATGATTTGCGAGTTCAGGTACCTCCCACAACGTAACAATCATAAATACAAGTAGCTCTAGGTCTAGGAAGAATATCCCCTCGTTTTCTGGCCCCGCCGACAAAGGACACGCAAAAGACACGCAAAAACTACAGTACCAGGGATTCCCGCATGGTCACCCACTGCAGTACTAACCTGGCGATGTTATGCTTAGATATGGCTGAGCGGACGGGAAGCCTCGTTTTCATAACTCTATGACCGTAGCTATTAACAGACCATCTCCTAGCATATCTGAAGGTAAATACTAATACTATAGAGCGTGGACCAGTTAACAGGTACCTATGGGGACCGGTGCATACCGGGAGTGGATATCCCGGTGCCGGTGCTGGTGCTTTTGGTCGGCTACATTTCAGAATGTCAGCCTTAAAATTAGCGGTAGTGGGCCTTAATACTAGCTAGGGTGGGCCTTAAAACAAGGAGCATTGGATGAACCATGAGACAGGGATGGGACAGGATGTTGAAAACAGTCCAATTCTGCATGGGATTTAGATCATTTTGGGTCATTTCATGTCAAATCACGAAAACCGCTCTTCCGAAACGGCTCTGGAAGAAAGCGATTACGAAACTCGGAATCCACCCATTCGAGCCGAGTACGTTCGACTATGCCAAGCTTCATAGTTGGATCTCGGCGAAGATCTCAGTTGCCGAAACCCTTGCAATGTTTGAGTTCCTTGCACCACCGACCTCCTCCATGACTGCACCGTCAGAACCGACAAATTCTCCAACCCCGACAACTGCTCCTGCCACGATAACTTCTCCGTCTCTCATGACTCGTCCGGCATCTCCAGCACCCATGACTTCCGAAACGCTTATGACCTCCGGCGCTCCGACAACTTCCACGGCTTCCACGACTCCGACAACTCCAGAATCTCTTATAACTCTCACTCTCACGGCCCCCACAACTTCTTCGGTTCTCGCTCCAAAGACTCCTGTGATTTCGATGGGTGTTTGAGATATTGACACCTGTCAACTGTTGGAAATTAGACACGATTGTGAGGACAACCCTTTGGTCTGACAGAAATTGTGTATATTTGATGAGAAATTGGGAGTAGTGATTTTGACAGGTTTGAAAGGGTTATGAGATAAGACTCATCATAAGTTGGGAGATATCCTGATGAAGTTAGTGTTTGGTGATGTCTTTCGGACATTCTTGCGACGTTTTGTGCCCCAGCCTAGATGTCTTCCTACTGAGAAGCCGACAGCACTAACAGAAGCTGCGAGCTCTCGTACTTACTCAGACTTCCTGGTCAATGTAGCTCGTTCACTGCGGGCTTTCTAATTGCAAGAGTCACACGAATACAAAAGTTCCTCACCAAGCCCAACAAGCTTTAAAAATAAAGTTTATTCTCGCATTTCCAGAGTCCAAAATCTCCATATCATCATAAAAAAATATCTATATAACTGTAACTTCTAAAATGAAAAATCTACAAATAGTTAAAAAAGATATTAAACGAAATCCAAAAAAACAAATCCCAACCAGCAGTAAAGAAATATAAACAAAAAAACTCCAACAAAAACCTATCACACAACCTCCTGAAGCTCAGCCATCAACTCCTCAAAGGACCCAACTACGTCCCAGCATTGCTGCCAGAGATCCTTATCCCCAACAGTTCCGTTTGCACCGTTCCTGGCTGGGGCTGAGGATCCGCCAACAGCGCAAAGGCCTCCTTATTGCTCGCCACCTCCATATCTGGCTTCGGCTAAGCGTTAACCACAATATAGCCTTCTTTTTCCTGGTAGGCGACTTTGTGACTTGTGCCCTTAAGGTTCAAGGTGAGTAGCTGGGGAGAAGGAGGTCTTTGTTGCAATAGAACTTGAACCGAGGGAGGCGAAGGTGGAGGAGGCATTACGTTCGATGGTTTTGGCTGAAGGAGTAGCGGAAGCCCCATCGGTCTCGGGGGAGGCGGCATTCTCTTTGCGTCTTCCGCCCGTTTGGCTTCTAAAAGCGCTGCTTTCCACTCTTCTTCTCGTCGATGCTTCTGTTCCACCAATATCAGCTTCCATCTAACCATTCGGAGCTTCACGAATTCACACCTCTGTTTTCCAATTACTTAATCTCCGTATAATAGCCTCCTCTTCCGGGGTATGCTCCTGGTGGTAGAACTGAGTAGTCGGTACTTGGCCTGGCACAGGATTCACGGAGGCGTTGGTGAAGTCAAACACAAACTCCGGAGCCGACGTGTCCGTTTCAGGGCTGATTGTGAGGAGGGGTTGTGGTTGTGGCGGCGGTGACAGTCTGCTTTGTCGGTATTGTTCTCGCTGTTGCCGCAGTTGTTCTTGTTGCAGTTTCTGCGGATGCTGCCGCCTTCGTTGCCTTCGTTGCCTTTGTTGCTGTGGCTGCTGTTGCTGTGGCTGTTGAGGGAGGGGGGTTTGGTCGTTCACTGCAACATCAGCGGAACGAGGGGGGAAGAGGGCTTCGTAGGTGTTAACGAAGCCGTTCGCTGATTGTGGGAGGCCTTCGTATAGGTTGTCTCCCCAACCGGTCGAGTAGGAGGTTTCTGGGACGAAGGAAAATTCGAACGGTTCGTTCGGCTGCTGGGGGGAAAAGCCCAAGTCGATATACGAGCTGGCAGGACCTTCATTGGTTAAGTCGATGTACGAGACGGTAGGACCTTCATTAGACAACGGAAAGTAGGGGGAGGGGGGAAAGGAGGAAGAGGGGGAGAAGTTGGAGGAGTGAGAGTGAGAGGAGGAGGCAGAGGAGGATGAGATGCAGTTGGGGTTGCCGCAGCTGCAGGTGTTGAAGTCCATGTAGCTCTGCATTATGTTCGCGTCTGTGTGTGTGATTAGAATTTTGATAGTAATGTAAACTAGAGAGTACTTGGTTTGTAGATAATGGTGTGTAGTGGGAGACGTAAAGAGCTGGACAGAGATCAATGAGATAGCAATTGGAGAGAAACGGCGAGAATGTGTGAATACTCTCTCCATCTGAGAATTGGAAGACTTAAATACTTGTACTAATACTTGTACTCGCCAGTCACATACAAAGTTTTCAAGACTGGAATTGATGGGACCTAAACAGCTAAGGTTTCGAATCTGCGGAACAAATACTCAAGAATTTGAAGTCAAAATATTTTGATGGCCATTTCTAGGATATTGCGCACAAAAATGCTCAAAGTTGTGTCAAACTCTTGAACGCCAAACTATCATATTACCATGTGGCTAAAGCTTATTTCCCCGCAGCCGCAACGCAGATCCTCGCTTCATGAGCTAAATTGAACCTTCGATTGAAGTGTTTTTATGAAGGAGAGAGGAAAATATCTGGAGAAATACCAACGGTGTTCATGGTAACAAGTATGCAGCAAAAGGTGCTTAATGATATCGACTCAGGCTTGGTTCAGCCTGGTACTTTTCCGCTAGTTTTCAAACTTGAGTCTGGAAAAGATTCGGACGGATCAGTTCATAATTGCCCACCCACTAAACTTTATCCCGCGTCCAGGTCAATGACAATGAAGTTATGGTAATTATATGTCCTGAAATACTGTAGTGAAGAAGTCTGTTTCATACCAGCTGTTAAAAACTGTGTCTAAATGGTTGAGAAACGGTCGAGATCTCGATGCTCTAGTATCGGTAGCCACTCTGATTCCCTGTAGATAGCTGTTGTGATTCCAAAAGCCTTTCAGTGACGATTACATTCGCAGTTTTCTCAAGTGGTCAGATCAACCACCGGATCATCAATTGATTCGTAGACAGTGAAATAAGAGCACTGTTTTTGAGACTATCCTTACATAGAGCGGATGTAATCCAAGAGTTTCAGGTTTTGTAAACGGGCGCATGTTGTTCGCACCTGGGAAATCCACAGCCGCCACAAGACCAGAACACTTCGGAGGAGAAATTCAACAATTTTTAGTTTTTTTATAGCTATCACTCGACGGTGTTCGAGGTGTATATAATATGATACGGAATGTAATTTACAAGCTTAAACCGTACATTATAGTTATGAACTTAATGTTACAGTAACCCAACAAATGCTTCTTAACCGTGTATTACAGTTACAAACCTAACATTACAGCGACCCACCAATATTTAAGTTCTGGAACAAACACCGAGTCACCGAGTGCTCGATCCTGTTGCACACACCTTCTAGTCGAGCATGGAAAACCACAATCTAGATTCCTTGGATATGGGTGTTTAAAGACAAAATTATCTATTCACAGAAATGTGGTCCAGCTTGAAGCACCATATTTGTACTGCTATTTTTACTTCTATCATTGTGTCTCCATACGGCCGGGTTTCTTGTCATCGGCTACGTCAGCTAACCGTATACGTAATCATTGACCTCGAGACCGTGTTGAACCTACCTCTGGCTGGCGTCTAGACGAAAATACAGATTCTCAAATGCGCCTGACCTTGCGAAGATGGTGACTCACCATGAGTCTTTATTGAGGCCTATACGGCATTAAAGTTTAGCGCTCCCTTCTGGGAAAGTTGGAACAAAGAGTCCAAAAGAGTGAAGAGGTGTATACACACTCAGAGGCTACGAAGATGTGTACACAAGTGGGGAGTGAGTGCATTGTCAATCGGCGCTGAAATATGTAACACCTTTTCAGTGAGGAACTGTGAGCCCTGCAAAATTTCTTGTAATAACCTTAAACCATTCACGAATCATCTCAGCTCGCTTCTCTCAGAAAATCCCCACCATATCGAGA